ATTACTACTTTTTTCTCCTTTCCATAGCTTGTCATACATTCTTAACAGAATTTCAACTGATGCTACCGATTTCCATACTTGGGCAGCTAAATCCTCGTAGAACATCAAAAGAACAGCAGCTCGCGCACTATTCGATGCATCATTTTCTCCTTTTTCTAACAGGTGTTTTTTGTTTCCGATTCGTTTAGTTTCCGGGGATGAAATCATCGTAACTCATTTCTTTAGCGAGCCCCATGCTGTACCCGAAAAACTCGGAATTTGATTTTGAACCCGTAAACCCTCATATGCTTTGTAAAATTTATGAGGATTGTTATGAAAGTTTTTAAAAATCATAAAACTTGACCATCTCAAAAAGCATGGGTTGCAGGTTTCGGTTACTGGAAGCTCGTTGACTGTTTTGCAACATTTACATAACCATTAGAAAGAAAACGAATTTCTGCATCGAATGCTACCATGACCATCCATGTTCGACTGTCCATAAATCTTGGCATAGTTGCAATCTTCTTGTTAGTTGCTTGAGCGAAGTCCAAGATTGGTGCAGAACTTTATCGCACAGAATCACAGACTAACGTTTTGGCGAACTCGCCTTCTTCAGAGTCTGAAAAGTCGACGACACATGAGTAAACTATCCGATCAAACACTTCGTCGACTACAGAAAGGAGCCCAACCCTCTAAGAAAAGGTCTCAGCAAGGGCAACGCAGCTACTCCGTTAGGCATGCATCCCAGGCTCAGCCATGACGACGCGGAGGTGGGAGTGCAGGTTCGAATCCTGGCGCGTGAACCCGAGATCCTAGCGCGCAAGACACTCGAAGCGTCTTGGATAGCCGCCCAAAATCCAAAAATCAACCGGAAGGACGAGTGCCTAGCCATTACCAACGAGCTGTCTCCTTATCAGAGCCTCTGTGGCTTTTGAATAATGGGGTCAGGTCAGAACCGGGTCACTAGTTATCTATAAAAGTAAGGCAGTACAGCTTTTGACATAAGTGGTCTGCACCCACCAAATTTTCATCTGTTAAGGTGAGCACTGGCTTAATCTTGGTTTTTGGTTAAGGCTGTTGTTTTTCTTAGAGGGTTGGGCTCCTTTCTGTAGTCGACGAGGTGGATCGGATAGTTTACTCATGTGTCTTCGACTTTTCAGACTCTGAAGAAGGCGAGTTCGCCGAAACGTTAGTCCTTTATTCTGTGCGATAAAGTTCTGTACCAATCTTGGACTTCGCTCAAGCAACTAACAAGAAGATTGCTACCATGACCTTTTAGAAATCTTTGTTCTACCGTCTGTGGTGTCCGTTTGAAAAAAGCGAAGTCACTTTTGGAATGACCTAATATATTATAAAAATGTGGAGAGGACTTGTTTTTACTTGTAAATAATTAAAATAATTTTTGAAAATTTTTAAAAATTCAAATTAGCTTTGTAAAAAAATTTTTTCGGGGGCGTGGCTGCCGCCACGCCCCCTTTTTCTGAAATTTTAGAGTCAGGGGCCCGGAAGAATTTTGGGAAACATCCCAAAAATTTTTTCGGAGTGCGTGGCTGATGCCACGCACCTTCATTAGAAAACATTTTTTGTCCCCCCCCCCCCCCGAGCCAAAATCCTGGGTACGCCACTGGCTCCAGACGATGTCAGATCGTCTGGTGGACGTCTGGAGACGATTCAGTTTTGGAGAAGGTACTACTTCACATAAGTTTTTAAATCTTTTTACATAATCTTTCCGCAAATAATTTTCTAAATATGCAGTTTAATTTTGGTGTCATACTTCTGTGTGCGCCGTAAACAAGCAATTTCTTTATTTAAGCCTTGCTTTCAAATCGCGCGCACTTTTCGCCATACACGATAGAGCATGTCAATCGTGTGATAACCTGTCCGAAAAGCTTGTGTTCGACTAAATGGCGCTTATTCTTGGTGCTCGGCCCCGGCTCCGCAAAACAAAAACGAAGTTTAGCCTGTTTCCAGACGATCTGTGCCGGCCCTAAATGCGGAAGAAGATTCTTTTTGCGTAATAACGATGCTTCACAAATCCTCTGTTTTTGCATTTTCATGCAACACCTTAGACCCTGCCACAGTGATGTATGGACTTGTGGTGAAAACTTACCTTAACATGTTGACGACGAAGCCGTTTTTTTATGTCTGTCCCTGCGGACGAACCGTTTTTGGGCATTTTCACAGCCAGCTGTGTATATGTATGTGTATGCATTTATGCGTAAGGTACAAAAATGCAGTGGGCGGGTTGGCTCCGCCCAGTTTTGGCAAGCCCCGCTCACTTTTCGAAAATGCTGGAAATCGCTCAAAATCAATGAATTCGTGCAAATTCCGGCACTGAAAAGTGGGCGGAGCTTGCCGCTCAGGAGGTGGGGCCTGAATAATGGGGGGCGGTTCAAAATTGAGATTATTTAAGGTTTCGCAGTCATTTACGAGCTTTTCTATGCGATTTTAGAACGAAAAATATTTTTGTAGAGGGCAAGGGAGTGGGCGGAATTTGCCAAAAGAGAGGCGGGGCCAACATGAAAAGCTTCTGAGCCTAAATTGATTATGTGAACTTAAATTGGAACCATTGTGCACATTAGAGCTGGTATTTAGGGTGTCGCGCACCATTGCGCGACACTGTCGTCAAAGTGTTAAGAACGCACACCTATATTCACAACCATAAGGTATGTTCAGTTTCAAGGGTAACACATACTTCAAAGCCACTGTGCACGCGAATCCTCGACTTTCGCCTTTTTGTCGTTCCGGGACCTCATGTCCCTAATTCCGGATATCAAGTGGATCCGCGCAAACTCCGACAATCCAAGTTCGCAGGACTCGAGAACGAGTTTTACGGAAAGGTAATTAAGTGAATTGGCACAAACGGGAGGGACGAACATTACGAAGCGTTTCTCGAAGGACGCAATTTCATTGCTTCGGAAAGCAACTTTTGGCAGCGTAAGATAGGCAAATGGCCAGTTGAGTTCCGTTACGATCAAAATCTCATAAACCTCATTAGGGTGAACTTCGCTTTTAAGGTATAAAGTAATCACAAGACATTAATCCTTATTTACGAAAGTGCCTTAAAGGATTCACGAAAGTGCCTTAAAGGCAGTGGCTTGACAAATCCTCGACCTGTGGTTTTTTGGCTTCCCTGGGGTAATTCGAAGCGCTGATCCCAAAAATCCATTTCTAAAAGCGCGAAAATGGCGAAAACCAGCATCTTCCAAAGCCCCTCATCTTGAATTTGGACGAGTGGAACGTTTTTCGCCATGGTTAGAGACGTGAAGCCGTTGTGGGGACACTCATGTTTACAGCATTGCGGCATGCCGCCTCTGACGGTGGGAGGGATATCGCAAGATCGTCAGAACGCCTGTAAGAATGGCTTGCGCGCACGAGTTTAGAAAGAATTTCCTAGTCAATAGCACGTTGTGCGCTCGGATCTGCTCCGTTCTCATGTTTGGGGTCAACCTGTATATTAAAATTTCGAGATGTTCGATTTTGCTGAGCCACTGCCTTCAAAGGCAGTGTCCCGACAAAAAGATGGGTGCCGGAATTTTGTGGCGATGTTAAACTAAACCCGCTTCCTAAACGATGATTGAAGTTCGGGGCGAAAAAGGGGGGTCTACGAAGTCCACCAATCCCCCCCCCCCCCCAAGTGGCCCGGATCTTACATTAGGCTCGGGCGAGTACGAGATGCATGCAAGGTGAAGACGCAGAGTCGTTGCGAAGGGACCCCGCGCTCATGAATGTGTGCGCTATGCGTGATCTGGCCTTCAGTTTGAAATCACGTGCGGGCGGCACTTGGGCTTACCGTAAGATCCGGGCCACTTTCGGAGCAAATTTCAGGCTTGGTAAACCCTTTTTTTCGCTCTGAACTTCTGTCATCGTTTAAGTAAGGGTTCCACCTTTAACATCGCCACAAAAACCCGGCAATTATCTTTTACCGGGACGCCGCTTTTAAGATAAATTACTGCACTCCTTTCAAATTACAAATTTGAGCTGGCTATGCCCGTACATCCCCGCGGGGAGGGTAGGGAATCTGAGAGGAGACACGTCAGATGATTTTTCTTTTCTTTATCTAGCTTAAGAAGGTCCTCATACCCTGATACTGCGCATGATGGATGCCAGTTCACTGCCATACAAGATTAGAATTTTACTACTTTGTGTGATCCGCTCGGGGATAGCCGGGGAAACACGAACCACGCCTTCCACCAATTTCTCTTTTGCTTAAAGAGATTTCGCGGCTATTCTGTTGTACTTTGTTGAACACAAAACTGTTTTAATTTTAACCACAAGTGGAGATTTGCCTAGTAGATTTTGAATGGTAAGTTTCAGCATTGTAAGGGGTGCCGTATGTGTCTCCACTATTTGATCGTGATATCTCTCATACCATTCTGTAGAGATGGCTTCAACTTGAAATTACAACACAAAATTGCCAATTTTCATTACTGTAAGATTACGGTAGAAGCTTCCGGGCAACAGTGCGAAGAAGCTGCATTTTTAAGCAGTCTTCAAAAAAGTGGAAATTTTTATCGTAAAGGTTTCATGGACTCTCCGCCAAATACTCAGTTTGGTGCAAGACTGTGAAGTTCTTTAAAAGGTGTAGCCACAGTTTTGGGAAACATTAGCAAAACCATCGCTACTGCTCATCTGGCATAATTTCTAGCAATAAGATGCAGACTTCATATCATTTATTTGTATCCAAAATTCTGCTTGCCTAGTCTGAGGGTTTGGTACACTTCGGAAGCAAATAATGCTTTCACATGCTTGAAACCCTCTTCAAGTTTCAACCGTAATTCTATGGCAATTAGGGGCAACCGATATTCGTTCTTACTTTCAAACTATAAAGCCAACACTACAAAATGATATCAATAAGTCCGCTAGATTACAGACAAAAAAACCATTCACAATTGAACAATGGGAACATACTCCATGGACACTCTGTAAAGAGTTTTATTCCTCATATATGCTGCAGATTATGACTGAGTAGCAAAGCGTTCTTTTGTACCCTCAAATAGACTAATTCTGGGTATCTTTAGATATATGGTTCAGACGAGCTGCTTTGGGCCGTTTTGCAAATGAGCGACGATTTGCAAATGCCAGGAAGATTTACACAGAAATGCAAGCAAAGTTTCGTACCATGCATTACAAGGTTGGTTTTCTGTTTCTTACGATAGCGTACACCAAACTCATAATGGTTGTGCAAAGCAAAGCACATGAAAATCCAAAACTTAGAACGGCATTCGTATTTCTTTCACAAATCCGTTGGTCGTGTTCTGCCTTTTGAGTGCGCAGATCCTTCGCATACGCATATGTATGACTAGGTGATATTTTGCCTTACATATTAGGCCGTAAAGAAAGTTCCCGGGCACTTGCGAAAATTTTTCAAAACGCTGTAACTTCGAGCAAATTTATTCTTTTTTGAAGCTACAAACTTTATTGCAAAGACAATTTTGTCCAAAACATATATTTGTCTTCTGGCAATTCAGCACCTCGCTGCGGTTCACCAGCATGCGCAGAAGAGAAAAAGATTGCGGCGAAAAGTCGGTCTATTCGTGCAAGATTTCTCAAGCATAATGAAAGCTAGAGAGCTCATATGCAGTAATTTTATAGAAGTCTGTAGGGGCTGTTATGGAGACTATTCAGGCTTTTGAGCGACTTCATGCAAAAAAAGGTTTTTCCGGAATGCGCTGTTTGAGTAAGTGACTTTAAAGTCTTGTCGTTCTGCATAAAGTGGACCAAATCTCTGATTACCGCGAACACTGTTAGGGTAATGCCTTACACATCTTTTGGACCCATCATCCAAGCGTGGCGATCTCGCAGAAGCGACGCCGGCTGCGAAAAGCGTTGCAGTCAGAGGCAAGTCCGACAGCGTGCAATTTTTTTTGCGCAAAACATAAAACTCGAAGTTGCGAGTATAAAATTTCCAAAAGTGCCCGGGAGCTTTCTCTATAACCTAACACTTGCATACTGCTCAGTTGCTCGTAGCAACGTAATTTTTCCAAAAATAGTAGGTGTAAATCAGCTCGGCCTCAACTCCGGTTGATTTTCTTTCTCGACTTTTGGTAAAGGGGGTCCCTTGCTCTTTGTTCATGACCTTTTTGTAGATGACTTCAGCGTATTTAAAACTGCAGACTATTCTGAAAATAGTTCAGATGCTTGAAGGCGTGTCAACAAGTAAGGAATACACGCTTGCTGTAAGAAAAGCAGTTTATTTATGTCCGAAGTTCATGATTGTATATGGTTTGCAGATTAGCAAAGGCGACGCTAAAGCATTCGGTCAGCACTTTGATATCTGAAAGCGCTTTTCGAGCTAGTCCATCAGCAACGAGAGCTTATGCGTCAAGCTGAAAACGCTCTAAACGTACGGTGATATGGAAGGAGAGGAAGAAGGGCCACTAGCGGTCAAAAAAACGGAACAACACAAAGTAGTTGATCAATATTTACTTTTCCGTTATCCGAATACATTTTTTCGAAAAAGAATATTGCTTTTTTTTCTTAAATCAAATTTGATGATAACTTCGCAGAAAGGGTGTCGAACTCCTGGCACGTGTCACAAAAAATTGACATGTCGTCTGCATGTTTAAAGGTTTTACCAAGATTTTTTTTAGTCTACCTACTAATGTGAGTTCAATCTTTTCTTCAATCAATAGTGAATCCATTTTTATTTTACAATGTTAAAAAGGATATTAACACTATACACATAGTCTTGTGTTCAATGAACATAATAGGTTTGCCCAAAACTCGATGAAAAAATTTTTAGGCGGAAACACTCCTTCGTGAGAACATTTTGGAAAAATGGGTCCGGTGGCGAAACAGTACTTAATTTCGTCTTTCGTGGTGCGTTGCAGTATATGAAATTTGAAATTCGTAGTGATTTTCTTTTTGTTTGGGAAGCGGGCAGTTTTGTTCGTGTTTGTGCGGTTTAATGTTATTTGCCAGTTATATAGCCATATACGTGCTTAGCAGCCCATAGCTCTTTCTATCAGCTTGTTGTAGATAAAAGTAAGTTTTTAATTACTTGAAAATCGGACTTCCTTCGAAACATGCAAATCTTCCACTTGGTCATCATATAGTGGGCACATACAATACCACCCACATAACTTGCATAATTTCCGCGAATGTCGCGAAATTCCGGGAATGTCGCGAAGTTTCGCGAAATTTCGAGAATTTCGCGGAATTATCGGAATTTCGCGACATTCACGGAAATTGTGCACATTCTGTAAGCGGTATTGTAGTGGAATACAGCTCAGAAGACAGCCTAATTAAAATGAATGTAATGGATGTTTATTTGCATATATCTCATGTTGTTTAAGAAGGAGATTTGTAGGGTTTTTAGAGCTAAAATTGAATTTTTTGAGGCTCTCAGTAATTTAGATTCTCGGACCAAATTTCATGTGCACTACAATTAACTAAGATATATTGTGATCATTTTGTAGAGCATGCTTTATTTCGAATAGTGCCCCTTGCGCTTTTGATATTTACACTGCGGTTATAGTTAAAGAAACGCTCATTACTTTTGCATCAAGCCAATATTTTGAAAAACCGCAGGTGTTAGCATTACATGTAAAATCTTATCATTAGGTCGTTTATTCAAACCCAGTAGAGATTCGTGCAGGCCCGATGATGTGAGCCCTATCCGCAACTCAGTTAACGTTCGTTAGCGCAAAAACCACGTCTGGTTTACGAGAGACGACAGCTTAGTAAAATTCATTGAAAGACTGAAATTTGCAAGTTCCTCCCTTGTGAGAAAACGTCACTAGATGTTTGCTGGTTGCGAAAGTTCTCATAGAAAATAAAAACAATAGCGGAATGTGAACAGAGATAAGAATGACACATGTCAATCCTACATTTAATCCGAGAATAAAGTTGAGATTGATTATTAGATATGCGCATAAATGTGTGCTTTGCAGTTATTATGTGCGGAGCATTTATCTGCATGAATTATTACATATTATCCTACGTACTAAACATCAACTCAAACGCTTTGACACATGGAAGCGAAACGTGGAGCCTTGAGCGCATTCTTTTCAAACTGCTGCTATTTACGTCTTCTTTAAAACCTAGGCGAAAAAGGAGCAACTCACAACATTATTACGATGATGGAAATGTTAATGGAGAATTTTTGACGCACAAGTCATGACGGACCAAGAGCCAGAGCAGAGGTAGTAAGGGGACGCTACTTTTCTGGGAATAGGTCACTGTTGTGATTAGCATGTCAATTCGGGGGGGGGGGATGTGTTACATGTGGGCGACAAAAATTTTTGCGACGTTACAATGAACCGCAGAAGGCAGCACTCTAATATGGCAGGTAACTCGTCCATGCATAGGACAGGTGACTCGTCCATGTTTCAATCACCTAATAGTTTCTTGCAAGCAGTAATGTAGTCAAATATGTCATTGACACCTACTTATCTAAAAGCAAACTTCCTTTAGCACGGAATTCGCAAAATCCATGAAGATATGTTGAGTTAAAACATTATTATAATGAGTAAGAAATTCAGTTCTTGCGATACACATTTTTTTCAGAACTTTTTATTTTGAGAGGTTAAATTCAGGGATTTTGCGAAGAACTTCAAATAGATAGGAGAAATTAATCTAGACATTAAACTGAGAACTTCAACAAAGAATAAATATTAGGTCATTCCGAAAGTAATTTCGCTTTTTTCAAACGGGCGCCACATCTGATGGAACAAAGGTTTCTAAGAGATCTTGGTAGCATTCGAAACAGCATTTCATTATCTTTATAATGGTTATGAAATATTTACAAAACAGTCAATGAGCTTTCAGAAAATAACCAAAGTCTGCGACCTATGTTTTTTGAGATGGTCAAGTTTCAAGATTTTTTAAAACTTTCATAACAATCCTCAGAAAGAGTTCAACTGACGGTGCAGAGCAAACCTCATAGAATACAGTTCAACTTTTTCTCTTTTCAATAGCTTGTCATACATTTTTAACAGAATTTCAACTGATGCTACCGATTTCCATACTTGGACAGCTAAATCCCAGTAGAACATCAAACCTTGAGCAGCTCGGGTGTCATTCGATGCAGCTTTTTCTCCTCTTTCTAATGGGTGTTTTTTGTTTCCGATTCGTTTAGTCTCCGGGGATAAAATTATCATAACTCAATTTTTTAGGGAGCCCAAGGCTGTACCCGAAAAACTCAAAATTTGATATTTCGAACAAGTAAACCCTCACTTGCTTTGTAAAATTGATGCCAACTCATAGCACCATCTTGGTAGCCTCAAATTCCGAATAATTATGATGTTTGATGCGATTGTGGTTGAAGTGGGCCTGCCAAAATTCGATGGTTCTGCTAAAAAATCTTTTAAAAAACTACGGTGAGCTACGAGAAAGGGAAAAAATAGCGCTGTATTGTATAAGCTTTACTCTATCGAATCTTTACTTGAACTCCTTCTGAGGATTGATATGAAAGGTTTAAAAAATCGTGAAACTTGACCGTCTCAAAAAGCATGGGTCGCAGATTTTGATTATTTTCTGAAAGCTCATTGACTGTTTTGCAACAGTTTCATAACATTTGGAAAGAGAATGAAATTCTGCATCGAATGCATCCAAGATCTCCTAGAAACCTTTGTTCCATTAGATGTGGCGCTCGTTTGAAGAAAGCGAAATTACTTTCGGAATGACCTAATATTTTATTTTTATTTTTTCAAAATAATTCTTAAAAACAATAAGTTGATGCAAAAGTTCTGTCGTTTCATTTTCAAAAACTTGTAACTTCGCGAGATTTCAACGAATTTGCTTGCTTGTAATTTTATTAGAAAGACTATTCTTCCGCTTTCAACCCTTGTTTTGTGGAGCTTCTGTTTCTCACTGCGTGCAGAGATAAAAATGGAAATCTAAGACCATGTAAACTTTGACCATTTTAAGTTAGGTCACCAAAAATCTGGAATGCTGCAAAAAATCTGGAATCGTCAGTACATATTTTTTTGGCCTACCCTTTGCAACTGTTAAAAGTTTGTGCTGTTTGGACGTTTCTGTGAGAAGTTATAATTGACAAGTTGATTAATTTTGGCGTTTTCCACAGTAAACTCGATATTCATAACTTCTCACAGACACGTCCAAACAGTACAATTTTTTCATAGATGCAAAGGGTAGGTCAAAAAACATATGTACTGACGATTACAGATT